GTTGGGAAGTTTGTTCCCAATTACTTTACTCCAGACTGTACATTCTAGGAAAAATTTGATTCCAATCAGAGCTCTGGTGATCAGCACGGTCTTAAAGACTTTTCCATCAGCTGCAACAAAATAGGAAGCTTCTTTCTTCCAGAATTCCTTGGAAGTATGTCAGGATCCATCATGGATTTCTGGGCTCTTGTATCAATGTAGGCTATGGCTTGGATTACTTTCTCATATTTTGATGGAAGCAGTTGGACTTCCAAACATGGTTGTGGAGGAGAGACTTTGATAGGATGAATCTCTTGAAAGGAAAATACTTGAACAATGTCAGTTTAGATTCATAGGACTATTCTCATCTAGTCTCGTCAGAGGAGATGTTGAGAGCGAATACAGTCTCTTCATTTGCAAAACTCTGTTCAGAATAGAGAGACTCTATATATCATTTTCATCAAGCTGGAGGGTGGAAATGAGTTTGATGATTTTTTTAGCTTTGTGAGGACAGTTCTTGGAGAAGTGTCCCTTTCTCTTGCAAATAAAGCACCATTGATCTTGTGTTTTCCCTCTGAACTTCTTTTTCTTAAAGAATTTAAAATTCTTTTTCTTCTTATTGCGAAAAAATGGTTTTTTCCTGCTTCTTCTTCATCTTGTAGTTGCCTAAATAGGGCTTCTTGCATTTGATCTCAAGGTAAGGTTTCTGATAGACTTTGTTGAACTTGCTTTTGTGAGTCATGATGTCAACAAAGAACACATGCTATCTGCACAGTTTGTCAACAACTTCTAAAGTCATCTAGTGAATTTGAATCTTTGTTAAAGTTGTGAGGTCTTTCTGGATGGATATGGACATCCTGTTCAGCTCTGGTTGTATCTCAGCAGGAAGAGATGTGACATACGTGTTCTTCAGGCTAGGATCATTGAGTCCGTTGAGATGGTAGAATCTTTTGCTCTATTATCGATCCACCACCTATGAATTCTTCATGTAAGGCTCCAAGTACTATTAATGTTTGTCCTAGTTCATGGAACTGGTTCTATCGAACGGCTCCCAAATTATGATGCCATCCCTTCAAAGTTCCTATAATTCTGTAACAGAATTTTTCAATGACTTTATAAGAGTCAGAATTGTTGACTAACTTGGTGTCTAACCATGCTCCAAATTCGATCAGTCTGGCTCTCCATTGGCTGGGGGGAATATCATTAATAGTGAAACAGGGTTCACCATTTGTCTTTGGAAACACATTTGTCCTTGTGGGACCATAGTCATCCTCTTCATCTGGAGGGTCATATATTAGTTCATGTCTAACTTCTGATCTGGAGGTGCTGGTCATCAGTATCTGGGTAAGATTTCATAATTGGGAACTTTTGTTTCAAATTCTTCAGAAGTAAAAACTTCAGTTTCTGATTCTTCATAAATAAGAACTTTAGTTTTTTACTCTTTAGAGGAATATTCTTCAAGCATTATAGGAGTATCTGGAGTTGGTGTTGCAGGAGTATCCGTATGAATCGGAGAAGGACAAGTTTCTATAGTCATTTGAGAGTATAGGTCTTGAGAATCTTGAAAGACCGGGTCAATGGTTCTTGTTGGGTTTGTCTCTTAGGTGAAGGTTGATATGCAAAAGAAGATTCTAAAGAAGGTTGGGCAACCTTTTTTCCTTTGTCTGGCTTGGGTGCTACTGGTTTGAGCCTAGGTCTATAGGCAGTTGCTATTGGTAGGGACCATGTAGTCTGTGATGTTGGTTGGAAGAAAGGAGACAGGTTCTAAAAAGAGGAGTAGGCTGGAGTTGAAGAGAACAAGGATGAATAATGATCTTTCTCTGGTTTCTGCTGCCTAATTTTCTCTTCAATGTAACTATCCATCTCTTGGATCTGGTCTTTGAGCCTTCTGATCTCCTTTTCCTTGGCGTGAGATAGTTCTCCGAAGACGGTGTTCTTCCAGTCTTCTTCTAGTCATGAGATTTCTGAGGAGAGTTGCTTGTAGTGCTTCCTCAGAGTAGAATTAAGGCGTTGGAGCTTGTCATCAGTCTTCTTAAGGTGTGTGGAGATCTTTTCTATCTTCTTATCAATTTTCCGCAAGATTAAATTCTGGGCTCTAGCATTCTCTGTCTGCCAATTTAGTACTTCTTCAGCCTGACTTAGGGGTTTGGTTTTCCCATCTGGTCCAATCTCTTGACAAATGACATGTGGCTTGGTAGTTGTTTTGGACACAAGATCAACATTTCTTTCCAACGGAGGAAATTCTTCTTTGTAAGCTGATGGGTTGATCATCATGCATGGAATGAAGGAAACTACAGGAGCAGGCTGAGGTGGCATGGGAAATATTTCTGCACCTTTCTTGATTGGAGAAGGAGAGGTCTTCCTCTTCAAGGATCTCAGCATATCGCTGATATTTCCACAAGGGATTTAGCTTTTCTTGGTGGTGAATTCCTATCCACGGGCCTTTTCCAAGTTCAAATGTCCTAGGAGGAGTGAATGGAGGTTTGCATGATCCTCCTTTGAAGTCATCATCTGAGTCACTAGTGTCTCCATTGTGATCGCAACAGTCACAGTCAGAATCGCACATGTCTGGGTCAACATCCCCGATGAAGTGTCCCCCTATCTTGTCAATGAAGATAGGTTTGTCGTCAGGGCACACGCTAGCGATAGGGATTTTGCCTTGCTTGGTGACAGACGTTATCATCATCGACTGAAATATGGAGGTGATTGAACTTGGAACATCCTCTGAATTCTTGAAGATGGTTCTAACGGTGTCATCTATAGATTTTCTAAATGTTGCTTCTTCTGTGAACTGGATGAGTTTCTGGTTGTTGTGGAGTTTCTCATAGTTAGTCACCCACTGCATCGGAATAAGCTTGTGAAGCTCTCGTGAAGAGATATTTCTGGGGATTTAAACTATGGAGGGTGTCTCATCTTGGTTATTGACCAAGAAGAATAGTGTTTTGTCCTTACAAGATGGTAATGTATGATTTATCGCATGATCTTGCAACCTGTAGATAATCTGATGATGAAGAGTAGCTGATAGTGCATCAGCCCATCAGCCACTTGTTCAACTCCAATAATCTTGATCTGAACCTTTAATCTCTGGGAGATGGTGAGATCCTTCAAGCTAACGTTTAAGTTGGGAAAGATAGTGAGAACTACACTTTCTCTTCTTCCATGGAGGGAGAGGACTAGTCGGATAACCCCGTAATGGAGATGAGTATAACCCTCAATTTTCCAATGTCTGATGAGATCTTTGGGGATCTCAATGTTGACATATTATTTTTCTGTGGTGGATGGTAGGTCACACTGGTCCATCATGGAAGATTGGACATACTTTTTGACATGAGGTCTTCTGGTAGAAAGAAGACGAATGATAGATCTAAGGGTGAATATTTGTCTCCTAAAGATATTATAAGGACAGTAAGTCTCAGATATCTAGGCATCTTTTGGGACATAAGAATACTCTATAAGGTTTTCTATCTTAGAAGAAAGAGTTTTCGAGATATTTTTGGGATGAGAAAGAGTTGAGTTTAACAGAACGGGTTTAAAGGTTTCTCTTACTCACATTCCATTTATAATTTCTACTATCATACCTCTTCTGAAAAATGGTTAGGTTTTGATATCATTCCGTATAGAGACCCCTTCTTATCCAGACGATATGAACTTCCTCGGGCATAACGACGATAAATAAGTGATAGAATTATGTATTACGATAAACTAATAATATTAAAAATAAATCAAGTTAAAATAAAAATATTTGTACCTTAAATTCAATCACTCATATTTTAGTATGACTTATTTATGTCATGATCTACATGGATTTAGATTAGATTAGTCTATAAAATTATGGACCGATATTTTTTATATAATAATAATAATTTTTTAAATAAAAATAAAAAATAATTTTATTTTATTAAAAATATATATATTATAAATTAATTTGACAAATATTTACTTATTATAAAAATAAATATCATAATAAATTTTTAATAATTACTTATTCAAATATCTAATAATTAAGACTACTTATTATTTTAAATTAATAAATTACTAAAAAAGAAATAATGTATTACTAAGAGTAAGTTTCTAATTCTTATCTTAAAATTAAATACATGCATTACCATATAATAGTTATATTAAATCATTATATCTTAAATAAAAACTAATTTTAATAATAAAATTTAAATTTTAAAAATATATTTTTATTTAAATATTTTTAATTAATTGATTTAATATAAATATGTTAATTTTTTTGAATTTCAATCAGACTAAACTTAATATTAGCCTAACATAAAATTAGATAAATTAAAAGTTTTAGTCTAAGACTAAATTATTAAAAAAAAATACTTTATATAAAAAGTGAAATTAGATTTCACAATTAGCTTTGGCAACTTTTATATATATATATATATATATATATATATATATATATATATATATATATATATATATATATATATATATAAAAGTGTATACAATAAAAATAAATATTATTATATTTAAAATATTCAATGTTTACTTTTTACTTATCAACTACCAAAATATTTATAACAACTATTTAAGATAAAATTAATTCACATAAGAATTGCAAATATAAGATAATTATAATTTTGTATTCTTAAATTGTTTTTTAACTATTCAAATACGAATTTACCATAATTATAAAAATAAATAATTTAGTTCGGAGTAATTGATTGTTAAAGAAAAGTTTATATAAATAAATATTAGAACAAAATTTACAATGTTTAAAATTTGTGTATTTTGAGAGAGAAGAAACTAATGAGAAGAGAAAAAAGGAAAAAAAAATTAATGTGATGTAAAAAAGAAAGAGAAAGATAAATTTAATAAATATTGTGAAAATATAAGTTGAATAAAAAAGGTTTTTATGTTGTCCATATTAATTTAAAAAATATCCAACATAAAATAAGAATTAAGAATATCCAACATAAAACAAGAATTAAGAATATCCAACATAAAATAAAAGGTGTGTCCAACAATAACAGTGATTAAGTTGAATATATGGAGTGAAAAAGGTACTATTTTGTTGAAGTCGAAGGGGTTGAAACAACTTCATCAAGAAAAACATGGTATTCTGGGTCATGAAGCCAAAGCATAGCAAGATGAACAGGGGAAGTGCAAAGTCTATGAACTGCTTCAACTTTCCAAACAGTGTCTTCAGCCTCACGCCAACTCAAAATTACATTCAATGGCTTCTCTTCGTTTTCACTTCCAAACCTTGACTTGTCCCATTCTTTACAAACATTTTGTGTCAGATAATGTAATGGTTCCCCGTACAATGTCTTCAAGGTTTTCCCCAAACCTTTCCAGTTCACAACCACGATGTCGTGGTTTAAACGATGTGTTGGAACAGGCTTTTTCTCCATCTGCTTTTGATACTCCCTTGCAACTTCTAACAAAGCGTCTGCATTTTTTTTTTCTTTATTATATTGAATTAAATAAAAAAAAATATACCTAAATCTATACTACTCTTATAAACAATTTTATTTTAATATTATAATAATAATTTTTTTATTATTTTTATTAAATCATTCTATAAATTATTATATTAATAAAAGTGAATTGTTTTGATTGTCAAAATATCATCACTTTAATTCAATTTAACTACACTTTTTAGTAAATATAAAATTAATTACTCTTTGTTATATTATTTAAGATTTTTCTGTTCAACTTAAGAAAAAACTATTAGTATAATTTATAATAAATGTTAATATTTTGATATTTTTTTCTTTGCCAAAAATTAGTTGTAATAATTTATTATTTTTTCTCTCTACAATAAATATAATAAAAAATATAAAAAATAACATATAAATAGAAATATTTTTTTAAAGACAATTGAAAATAAATAGAGGGAGTATTAATTATGTGATAACATTATTTTTTGTATGATCTGTATAAATGGTGGATTTGAATCCTCTATAGTCCTACCCTATCTCTCTCGATAATATATTAATATTTCATAATTATTAATATTTCATAATTTATATATATTTTTATTTTAATAACCATTAATTATAAAATTACGTTCTCTCCCACAATTTTTCAAATTTTTTTTTACATAGATTGAAATTCATTAAAAACCTTGATTATGCTTAATACCAATACGCATTTTAGATGTAGAATCCGTTAAAATTTCAACTTAATTATAAAATAGTTTTAGAATAAAAAATAGTGACAAAACTATTAAGCGACGAACTAAATGAAAAAATATTGACTAAGGATTTTTGTTTTTCTTTTTCAACTATATGAAAAAATAGAGTTGAAAATAAAATACAAGTGTATGTAAAACAGATAGATAGATATTGGTAACCTGGATCAAGACTCTGTTTGGTGTTGAATTTTCTACCAACTTTGTGAGCTGAAAGAGACTTTTTCCCTTCTTCTTCCCTTGCTCCACCATCTGCATTAGCAACGGTAACAGCAACAGCAACATTGTTAAGGTTATCATCGGACTCAGTTTCAGAATCCGACACCAACATGTGTTTGTACGCAGTAGGACCATGGCGGCGAAACATTTTCAACTTTCACACCGATGTTTCTGTGGTGGGGTGTGTAATGCCTGTGACAAATGCTTTTAATAACCACCCTCTGGCTTAGGATTTTATTAATTACATTTAATTTTTTTTCCTTGTTGCAGTTTAACGTTAACTGCTGTTACTTTGGTTATCATAATATTGGCTTAATTAGTGTTATTCAAGTATACAACTAATGAAGTGTAGTTGGAAAATTTTAAACATTAAATATTTAAAACATGAGTTTAATTTTAATGCACTAAATATTTTTAAACTTTCTAACAATTAGAAATTAATTCACTTATGACTTTTAATTATTACTTAACTCAGCTTTTTTGTCCTATATTATACTAAAATAACTTTTATATTATCAGTGTACTCTTCTTCTTCTTTTTTTGCGAAGTGTATTCTAATCGACGAGAGATGTAAATTTTGAAAGAAAAAAAAAGTTATAAAATTATTTATTAATTTTGAATTAAAAAATATGACCATTATATGCAAGATGAGAAGAATTAAGTTTTTTTTCTTTTTATGATTATAAAATTTGAGGCATTTAAACCTGTAGAAAAAAAAATGTTTCTTTCTGTAGTTGATTTTTTTTTAACGTAAAACATGTTTAAAATTGGAGTTTAACTTTGATAATTTCTCAACATATTTTTATTTTACAATGTAAACTAATTAAAGTACTAGAAATATAAGTTTTAAAGCAACAAGAAGGGAATTATATTATTCTTTGAAGTGATTAAAAAATGTATTCGTTTTGTCGAAATGGGTAGAACTTACGTATGCACATATTTCTTCTTAAAGAAAGTCATTTTATAATTAACAAATAAACAACAAGAAGTATTTAAACAATCTAGGTAAGACACAAGCTAAGAAAATTATAATTTATTTAGTATATAAAAATTTAATAACTTAATAAACACGAAGTACCGATGTTTCTTGTGGTGAAATAATTTCCGTACCTGATGTCAAAAAAATAATTATTAGAGTAAATAAAATAAAATAATAATGTTTTATATTTAAGAAATGTGATAATTTTTTATTTTCATTAATTAAAAAATAAATTTAAATGAGAATGTATTCATGTTTTCATTAATAAATTAAAGGTTTTAGTAAATATTTGAGACAATTAAATTAATATTTATAAGAACATTTTTAGTGGGAACAACAACGCGAGCTTATTAATTAGTTTTATAAGAGGTTTTTTTATCGATATTTGAGAGAAAAAGAAAGGGTTTACGAACAAAATGAGGGCTTGTTAAGATTTAAAGAAGGATTTTGAAGATTAAACAATGTGCTAATTGTAGAGTTTTTGAAGACGGTTTTTTCAATTAATCGCATGACACGTGGTTTTTATTTTATTTATTGTCATTGTGCATTGCAGTGGATTTCTAAAAGTAGTAGTTTTTTTCAAGGTAGTAGTATCGTAGGATTCAAGAACTTTGTATCTCGAAACAAGGTGAGGTAAATTGTAATTTAAAATTCAATAAACCTTTTTGCCTGATAGCATTATTTTAGTATATTTCAATGAGGTTTTCTCTTGATTTTTTTTTTTTATAATTTTGGAACATGGACTTATTGTAATGGGCCAAACATAGAATAGAGCCCAAAAAATGTAGATGGATAGGAGCGAAGGAGCTTGGTGGAAAGCGCGTGGCTGACAGAAACAAGGAGTAGTACTCCGGCGAAGCAGTTACGAAGGATGGCACGTGAAGACGCGTTGGTTTTCTTCTTAGACATTCTGACAGCTAGATGAGACGCAAAAGTATAAAACTATCTCTAATATGACGTGTCATCATCACCGTGCTTTGCGCATACACCAAAGATGCGTCTGGCTCAAACTTTCGGATTGTAATAAAATATGAAGGGTAGTGTAATAGAATGTAGTAACTTTTTGACCCACGACACCTAGGTTGCCCCACCATCAAATATATGACTTTTCTATTAAATTTTGGATCCGATTCCATAATCCAGAGTCCTCATCATTTCGTGCCCCTCTTTTCTGCATTTGTAATTTGTTCCTTCCTTTTCTTCCTTTCATCATTATTCATTAACCCAATCCCCTAGCCGTTGGGTAACGCAATTAACTTTTCTACCCCACCCTATCTATCATTCACCACAAAGCTTCTCTCTTCAATAACCCCCTCATTCTTCCCAAACTGGAATCTTAACAATGTTAAAAATTAAAATCATTACTATATCCAAATTTTATTATTACACATAACATTTTTTTTTTACAAATATTTAGTTCGTAATAAATCTAATAAAAACACACTAGGACCATGACAACAAATTAACTCAGACAGCATGAGATATTTCTCAGCCACTCCATATTCCACGTAATGTTACTCATATGACGAATGACGCGTTCAGCCATTATCATTACAAGATAGATCAACGTTACAGAGAATAAATAAATAAATAAACAGAATACAGTGACATCAAGGAGACACACTATTTTGACCAGGGTCCTAAAATATACTAAAAAATCCCTATCTTATCCCTCTTTCTAATGTTCTCAATCTCGTTCTCAGCCCTCTCTTTATATATATATAGAAACTTCACAAAACACAAGCGTAAGACCGTTGCGTCTGACTTTCAAGTTCAAACACAATATCATCCATGGCTACAACCTCCTTTCTCTCCGCATTTGTGGTTCTTCTCCACTTGGTCATCACCACGCACGGCCTCGGCATAAACTACGGCACGTTGGCCGATAACCTTCCGCCGCCGGCGACGGTGGCTAACTTTCTGAAGACACGGACGACGCTCGACCGCGTGAAGATCTATGACGTGAACCCGCAGATCCTGCAGGCCTTCGCCAACACAGGCATCCCCGTGACGGTGACGGCCCCCAACGGCGATATCGCTGCCCTCAAGCAAATCGATTCGGCGAGGCAGTGGGTGGTCACGCACATCAAACCCTATCACAAGCAGACCAAAATCCAATACATCCTCGTAGGCAGCGAGGTGCTCCACTGGGGAGACGCCACCATGATCCGCGGCCTCAACTCCGCCATCCGAACCCTCCACGCTGCCCTCCTAGCCGAGGGCATAACTGACATTAAGGTCTTCCATTCCCTCTACTATCTCACTTCTATTATTAGCTCCATATTCATCTCCACATGTCACACATTCAAATTTAGCTTAATTAATAATTTTTTTTGTTATATTTTTTTTTCCTTTTCAGGTTACCACTGCTCACTCGTTGGCGATAATGAGGTCATCAATTCCGCCCAGTGCGGGGAGGTTCAGGCCAGGGTTCGCAAAGCACGTGTTGGGCCCAATGCTGCAGTTTCTGAAAGAGACCAGAACGCCCTTCATGGTGAACCCGTATCCCTATTTCTCGTACAATGGTAAGAACGTGAACTTCCTTCTCTTCAGACCAAACCGCGGCTTGTACGACAAGTACACCAAGCTCAGCTACACGAACCAGTTCGACGCTCTGCTGGACGCGGTTTACTCCGCCATGAAGGATCTGGGGTACGGTGACGTCGACATCGCCATAGGGGAAACGGGATGGCCCTCCATCTGCGACGGTTGGGACGCCTGCAGCGTGGCCAACGCTCAGTCATTCAACGGCCAACTCGTGAAGCACTTGGCGATGGGCAAGGGAACGCCGTTGATGCCCAACAGAACATTCGAGACCTACATCTTTGCTCTTTTCAATGAGAACCAAAAGCCCGGCCCAATAGCAGAACGCAACTGGGGCCTGTTCCGACCCGATTTCACGCCCGTTTACGATTGCGGAATCATGCGAAACGGACAGGTTTATTTTATTCCTTTACTTTTTGTGTGTTTTCTTTTGTGTGCTGTCCTGTTACTTTGTTATTGGTCTGTTTTGGCTTTTTCTTTTCTTTATTAGGTGGGGCCCTTTTCTAAGGCTGGTCCATGCACTCAGAGCCCGAACCAGCGGAGCCTGATTTCACGGCCCCTCAAAATTTTGATTTTATTTTTATATATATATATTTATAAAAAAATTATTTTTTAAATATAAAAAAAATATTTTATACATAATAATAATAATTTAGTTATTTTTATTTTTATTTTTTTATATAATTTTTTATTTAAATTTTATTCTCTTTTTTTTTCACCTTTTTATTTTTAATATTTTACATTTTACTTTTTTTCACTTCTATATTAAACTTTTTTTTATTATTTTTTCACTTGTATTTTTTTCACATTTTCATTTTATTATATAATTGTTTATCTTTAATTTTCATTTTTTTTATTGTTTTTATTGATTATTATATCATGTATATTATTTATTATTAATTAATTAATTTAATAGTTTATGATGTTTAATTACAATGTTAAAATATAAAAAAAAATTAAGTTTTAAAGATGTATATAAAAAAATTATATACTTATTTGAAAAAAAGGAATATATAATAAAATAAAATTTAACTTACTAAATTAAAATTTAATGAATAATATTAAAATATTATTAAATAATTTATAATATAAATTATATAATAATTGATAATTTTTATAATATAAAATATCCTTAAATATATTTAAAATATTTTTAATCTTATATATATTTATTTTATGTTAATACAAGTTTATAATTTTTAATAATTTTATATAATATATATTTTTATATAAAAAATAATTAGAAGATGCCCTCTAAAACCAACCGTTGATCATGAGTTTTTTAAGCTCGATAGTTTATACACCACAAAATCTAACGGCTGTGCTAGAGGCTGATCCATTTAGCTCAACCCCACTCCCAATATTATAAATCAGAATCTCTTCTCCTTCCTCTCATTATTAATTGGACGAACTAACAGTCACAACTCACAGCCGATTTTAATTATGAAGTCTAGGGTAACTTTTTATTCAATGGTTTGAATGAAGTTACTACTGTTAAATATGGTTCATGGACTGTAAAATGTGTGTTGTTGTAGAGGAAGAGTGCATTTACATAACATTAGTAATCTTTTTTATTGGTGGAGTGTGTGAAAATTCTTTACATTGCTTGTGAATTTGTTGATAAGATCTTGTTTTAAAATGAATAAATGCAGAAAGGTGCACCTTTAGCGCCAACAAATCCTGCACCTGCAGTTGGAGATAAAAAATGGTGTGTGCCAAAGGCAGCTGCTACTGATGCAGCTTTACAAGAAAACATAAACTATGTGTGCAGCCAAGGAGTTGATTGTAAACCAATTCAACCTGGAGGAGTTTGCTATGCCGCCAACAACGTCAAGGCACTTGCCACTTATGCCATGAATGCCTACTACCAAGCCAATGGCCGCCATGATTTCAACTGTGACTTCTCAAACACTGGTGTCATTACTACCACTAATCCAAGTGAGTCTCGTCACCCTTTTTTGTCAGAATTTGAGTTTTTTTACAAGATTTTAGTGATTTTTAGATAAATTAATTTCTATTCATATGGCTTATGGTGTTAATATGTTTTCTGTTCTTATTTGCAGGCCATGATCAATGCAAAATCTGAGCATATGCTTATTGAAGGTTATGATCAGAGAGAGGAAAAAAGTCCGTTGTCATGGTGGCAACGTGGTTTAACGGTTTCTTTGCGTTTTCTATGCATTCATGTACTCCAATTATTTAGTTTGTATATTGTTCTGGAAAAAGAATCTTAAACTTGGCATGACATTTCATGCTTAGGCTAATATTATGCTCCATTGACAACTAATGTTGGATCATATTATCAGTTGTAGCAAATGTTGGTGCTCCCTTATTTTCAGACTCACATTAGATTATGAAAATAGTTTAGAATGCTGATAAACCAAACCAGAGGAGTTAATTATATGAATATGTGATTAGTTAAAAAAAATATGATTTAGGCTTTTGCAAGCTGTACTCCAGTAGCAGTAACGTGCTCTATAATTTAGGCTTTGTTTGGTTTGAGCTTTAGGTAGAAAAGTTTTGAAATTTTGAAAAGTTAACATAATTTGTCATTTTAAAACTAAATTTGAACTCCAATCACGCAAATTAAGCAGCTCTAGCATTTGGAAGTTGATAAGGTTAAATTTTAAAATGATTCTATTCCTTTTATCATTAACAAACAATCTAATGAATGGCATGTCCAATTTTAGTTCTGATTGATTGAAGGGATTGTCATTTTGTTTTCTTTACGTTGTTTTCGGGTCTCTGGTGGTAGAAAATTGTTTTGCCGTAATGTGTTGATATAATTTTACTTCTCGTGTTATAATAGCAGTTTTTAAATTTTACAAAAATTATTTAATTGTAGAAAATATTGATTAATATTTACTACAAATGAGTGATAATAGATTTGTTGGATTGATATTTTTAATAATTAAAAAAAAATTAATAGCAATTGTTGGAACTGAAAATATTTGTTTAAAAATTTGAGTCTAATTCCATTATAATTAATCATAACCTAATGATAATTATTTATACAAATATTGTAATAGATTAGATTTCATGTAATTGGACCATGGAGTACACAAGACAAGTCATTCATAAATTACTCTATAGGCCCATGTGACAGGCCCATATGGTCCAACCTCATCTTAAAAGCATAATAAGCCCATCTTTCGCATGCAATTCCAAAAGAAATTAAAATGATGAGATCTATGTTGGTTACATTGACATTAGATACGTTTCTCATATTCCAAACAACAACCACGAAACATCTTTTACAACAGTAATTTTTGTTGTCGGTTTGGTAAAGCACTTTGTTTGATTCTTTCGTTTCCTTAACAACAGACAAACTCGATAAAGAAGTTTGAATAGATAGAATTTCGTCCAAATTTTGGAAAAGGGATAATTTGGAATCACTTAGAAAATGAAAAATAAAAGAAGAAGAAGAAATTAATAAACTTCAGTGTGAAGTTGGACACTTTTAAAAGCTTATATTGGACATTCATCTTTTCAACAAATGAAAGAACCAGAATAAGGATTTTATGTTTGGTTGACTTTACTCTACTTTCAACTGTTTGATAATTAAGTACTATTGATACATTCATAATTTTTTATGAAAGTATTAATTTATAGTAATGTAATTAATTAGGAACAAATTTATTAATTTAGTATTATAGTACTCGACTCCTATGTATGAATTCTACTTACTCAAAGTTGAATTCAGAATAATTTATATATACTTTTATTTTTTAACCCATTAGAAACCCTTTTCAAAGATAAAATTATAAAAGAATTCTAATAATATTTTTTAACATAAAAATTCACTATAATAAAATTATGGTACATTTAACGTATACCATCTTATGTATTTATTACAATTTAATTGTAGAATAGCACATGATTTTCCCTTTAAAACTAGTTTTTATTCAAATAATAATTTAGCCCAACCTTATCATGTGCTCTAGCCATTCAAATTTGCAACAGAAAGAAAAAGGGTGCATAAATAATCTTAACCATTTAACATGTTTGAAAAACTGTGCTATTTTTATTCAACTTGGAACTAATTATTCGGAGCATTAATGAATTTGAAACGATTAAAATATCAATAGACAAAATCAAATATTCCACATAAAATTCAATATCTTTCTTAAGTCTTATATGCTCATCAATATGTACCTTCTCTTTGTTAGGAAAAATACACAGAACTTTTCTATGTAGTCAGATCTATGAAAGTGAAATAAAAACGAAATAAAGACGGAATAATTGGACACACCAATTGATAACGGAGTTCGGCCAAAATTGCCTACGTCTCCGGACTACTGCAGATATTTTACTGGGAGAAAAGAAAATACACAGGTGTTTACAAAGCACTCTCAAAACACTCAATCCTCAACCCAATTACACCCAGAAGCTAGATTATTTTCTTTCTGCTTCTTGCTGGCTAACTCTTGTAATGGTTGCTTTGGAATTGGATGATAGAAATGAGTGAAGTGAAAGAACATTTTATAGCAAAAGGAATGGTTCTTGTGCATTTAAGGTTTTCCAATTTTTCTTGTCTCCAACCACTTGTCATCCAACCACTTGCCAACCAACCACTTGCCACCTTTTTTTGACTTTTCAAACACCAACAATCTCCCACTTGAGGACTGATTTCAATCTGTCCTCACACCTTGATTAATGCAGTAGTCTTCTCTGGTCTGCTACTCTTGTAAGCCAACTGAAGTTGAGCACAACTTCAGTTTGTCAATGGTCACCACCTTTGTTAGCATATCTGCTGGGTTCTTGCTTCCTATAATCTTCTTCAATGTTAACACCTCATCCTCAAGTAGAGATCTGATGAAATGATAACGAATATCAATGTGCTTGGTTCTGGAGTGAAATGCTGAATTCTTTGCCAGATGTATTGCACTCTGACTATCACTATGCAAAACACTCTCTTCTTGAGTGAATCCCAGCTCTGCTAACAGTCCTTGAAGCCATATCAAATCTTTACTGGCTTCTGTCACTGCTACATACTCAGTCTCTGTAGTGGATAAAACAACAATTTTTTGTATTCGCGACATCCAACTAACAGCTGTAGTACCAACCGTGAAAACATAACCGGTGGTGCTTCTTCAGTGATCAACTTCACCTCCAAAGTCTGCATCTACGTAGCCCTGTAATCTTAGATTTCCTTTTCCAAAACACAGACATTTTTTTGTTGTTCCTCGTAGATATCTTAGAATCCACTTGACGGCTTCCCAGTGAGCCTTTCCTGGATTTGCCATAAACCTACTCACAACTCCCACTGCATGGCCAATGTCTGGCCTTGTACAGACCATTGCGTACATCAAACTTCCGATGACTGAAGCATACAGGACCTTAGCCATAATTTCTTCTTCTTCCTTTGTTTGAGGAGACAGATCCTTGGATAGACGAAAATGACTGGCCAAAGGTGTATTGACTGGTTTGACGTTGTCCATGTTAAATCTTTGCAAAACACGGTTGATGTACTCCTTTTGAGATAACTGCAAAACTCCTTTTTGCTTATCTCTCGTGATTTGCATTCCAAGAATCTTCTTTGTTGGTCCTAAGTCCTTCATGTCAAATTCCTTTGACAACTGTATCTTTAAATTTCTGATATCCCTCATATTTGAACCTGCTACTAACATGTCATCAACATAAAGTAGCAATATGATATAACTGGACTTATACCTCTTAAAAAAACAACAGTGATCGGCATTGCACTTTTGGAAACCTTCCTTGTGCATGAAGCTTTCAAACTTCCTGTACCACTGTCTTGGAGCTTGTTTCAGACCGTACAAGCTCTTCTTCAATTTGCACACCATATCCTTCTTTCCTTCTAAAAATCCTTCAGGTTGGTGCATGTATATCTCCTCATCTAAGTCTCCGTGGAGAAATGCAGTCTTCACATCTAATTGCTCTAGGTAGAGCTCTTCACTAGCCACAATACTTAACACTGTTTTGATAGTATTGAGTTTTACGACTGGAGCAAAGATTTCAGTGTAGTCAACTCCTTCTTTCTGCTGAAATCATTTGACAACTAGTCGGACTTTGTATCTCTTGGAACCATCATGGTCTTCCTTCACCCGATACACCCATTTGTTGTGAAGTGCTTTCTTCCCCATGGGTAACTTGACTAGTTCCCATGTCTGATTGGAGATCAGAGACTTCATCTCTTCTTTCATGGCAAACTCCCACTTGCTAGCATCTGTGGTTTGACAAGCTTCTATATAATCTTCGGGCTCCCCTCCATCAGTCAGCAACATGTAGTCCATGTATCTCCTGTTTGGCACATGAGGTCTAAAGGACCTTCTTAATACAGGAGTTGGAGTAAGAGGTTCTGGTTGCACATCACCTTCTTCAATTGATTCCTCTGACCGAGGACTCCTCACTATAGGATTTTCTAGGACATCTTCCACTTCTGCAAAAACTGGCCCACTCGATTCTGAATTGCTAATACTTGTTTTATGCATGTCCTTGTACAACACTCTTTCATTGAAGATTACATCTCTGTTGCGGATCATCTTTTTGTTTTCATCATCCCATATGCGGTAGCCATACTCATCTTCACCATAACCAATGAAAGTGCACTTCTTTGATTTTGGATCAAGTTTGTTTCTGTGACACCTTTAATACCAACATTCACTTTATTATGATTTATTAATTAGTATTGGTTCCTCTTAGTATTTGATTACCAATACACTCTTGTAGAAGTAAGGTACACGATAATTAGAACATACACTTAGTGATTAATATACATATCATTCATAAGTATCAAGTATAACTAGATAGTAAATATACACAAAGTCATCCCAAAATACATCTAACAAGGGTTCACAAGACCAGAACAGACAAACTAACTATACAACCTAATTAAAGAGGAAATATATTTCGTACGTCCACTAAAATGAAGTATCTCTTGTAGCACTGTAGTGGTGTTCGATCAAGTCCTCTACTTAGTACTTGCAGTGATCGTATTTAAACTTTACTTGGAGATGATACCGGAGATGAGTTGTGTTCAACGTCACCTATGCAAACATTTCATAATAACAATACATGCACAAAAAGGGTAAGACAACTTTATATTCACTTAGAGCATGCAAA